TGAATGGATGGGTAGATGGATGAGTGAATGGGTAAGTGGATGGAAGGGAAGATAGTAGGAATTCAGTGAACTCAGCACGCACCTGAATGCCCCAGGTCTGCAGTTGTTCCTCTGCGGCTCCCAGATCAAAGGAGATAGGCGCACAGGTATTGTCAATCCGGAGAACTGTGAGAACCTGGCCATTATGGAGCTCTGCAAATAGAACAGAAGCCTCATCTGGCTGAGTGGCGGTCACTCAGATGAGCCCAGACCTGACACATCATCCTTCTGGCCATGAGACCTTCCTCGTGACAAGGAGGGACAGGGGACCATCCTCAAATCCCCACTAGAGAAGGACTGAACTTGACCAGGAAGTGCCCTGGAGGCAGAACTGAGGTCACAGTGAGGAGGACACTAGGACACAACGTGAGACGTGTAAGGAAGAACTACCAAGAATGAAAGCCATCCCCACCAAGAATGGGCAGTAGTGAGTTCCCCATCACAAGGGATATTTAAACAGAGACTGAACAACTAGCTATGTTGAGAGGATAATGTAGTGGATGTTTATTCAAACACAGCAAAGAACACTCATCTGAGTAACTCAGATTCCCAGTGAGCTCAGAGAGTCTGAGTAAAAGATAACTGGTTATGGTAGACAGAACAATGGCTCCAAAAAAGTCCAGACCCTCGTCCCCAGAACCTGTGACTATGCTACCTTTCACATCAAAGGGGAATAACATCAGCAGATGGGAGTTAGGCCATCTGCTGGCCTTGAGTAGGGAGATTATGCTAGATTATCTGGGCAAGTCCTGTGTAATCACAAGGATCCTTAAAAGTAGAAGAGGAAGGCAGGAGAGTCAGAGAAAGATGTGACTATGGAAGGAAAGCACAGAGAGATGAAACGCTGCTGCATTTGATCATGGAGGGCGAGGGCCATGAGCCAAGGAATGGGGGTGGCCTTGAAGACTGGAAAGGAAAGGAAATTAATTCTTCAGAGCCCAAAGATACCTGGATTTTAGCCTAGTAAGATCAGTGTCAGACTTCTGACTTAAAGAGTCATCAAATAATAACTGTGGAAGCCGGGCTCGATGCCTTTGGGAGGCTGAGGTGAGTGGATTACCTGAGCCCGCGGGTTCGAGACCCGCCTGAGCAACGAGACCTCATCTCTACAATAAATCAAAAAATCAGCTGGGCGTGGTAGCGCGTGCCTGGGGCGGAAGGATCACTGGAGCCCAGCAGGTCGAGGCTGCGGTGGCCAGGAGCGGCCACTGCACTCCAGTCTGGGCAACCGAGTGAGACTCCAACTCAAAAAAATAAAAAATAAATAAAAAATAATAGCTGTGGTTTTTAAACCACTATGTGAGTGACAATTTGATACAGCAGCAATAGAAAACTCATATGCTGACTTATCAGTAACCCCTCCTAAGCACAGCTGCAACTCACTCAGCATTTCAAAAGCATTAATTAAGTCTTCATTCCCTCAAAACAACACACATCTACCCAGGCTGGACACAACTGGCTACCAAAACTCTTGCCCTAAAGGGATGGAATAAAGCCAGACCATGAGACCTGCTGGAGAGAAAGGTATGAACTAAAATTCCCTCAAGCCCAGGGAGAAATAGCAGCACCATGAGGCCAAACTCCGCCTGCCTTCAGTGCTGAGTAAAGAAAATCTGAACAAAAGGATGGAGGTCTCCCACCACGAGATGAGGCCTTGTGAGCCACTGTACAGCGAGGGAGACATGGAGGAGGGTGGGGGATACAGGATCCCAGTGCTCAGTCAAGTGTGGCTGAGGACTAAACATTTTGGCATATCTCTGGCTGCTGCTTCGCTGATGAGGCAAGACTGAAGGGATTAAACTGTAAATACTTCTCTGATGGCCCAAAGCACGTCATCCCAGATGAGCTCTGAGAGGAGCTCTGAACAATACTTGAGTCTTCAAAGCTAAATGACTCACCCTACCTTCCTAGGACTCCCTGGCCCTCTGAACCTTCTCTCTCCTCCCTCCCCTAATCCATCATTGAGCCCTGTCAACTGAGCAAATAAAACCTCTGTCCACTCCATGCACCTCCTGGCATCCTGACCTCTCCCTTGCCTCGCTGCAGTAGCCCCCGGCTGGCTTCTCCAAACCCACTCTTGCTCCTACAATACATTCTCCACACAGCGGCCAGAGTGCAAATCAGAGAATACTAATCCCTGAGTGAAACTTTCAATAGCTTCCCAGTGCTTTGCAGCCAAAAAAGAACCTCTCACTGTGCTTGCAGCCCTCAGGAGGACTAGCCTCCTGCCAGACTCACCCTGAGCCCCTTGGGCCAGGATCTGCATCTCACTACACCAGCCTCTTCTGTTCCTTGAACATGAATGAGGGGGACCCAAAAAAACCCGGAATTATCATTTGGAGGGCAGGACCCTGATAGTATAGGCTTCCCTCTCTAGGTGAGTGCTCTAGGAACCCATTAGCATCAGTGTACCAGCTAGCATTGTTGTGAGAGGCTGCGTTCAGCTTCAGTGAGTTTTTTTTGGAGATTCTTCTAACCTGTTTGCCCATTTCATGATGGGTCATTTACAAGTGCACCTGCCCACACTGTGCTGAGCGTTCAGCAGTTTTTGACCAAAAATGGCATGACTGCCCCCCAGGCTCCACCCTCTCTATTCCCCTGGTCTCACCCCAAGTGATTTTTGTTTGTTTGTTTGTTTCCCCAGGTGAAAAAAGTCCTCAAAGGGAAACATTTTGCTGATGTAGAAGAAGAAAAACAAAAATGAGAGAAGCACTGAAAGGCATAAAAATTGACGAGTTCAAAACTGTTTTGAGCAGTGGAAAAAGTGTCTCAATAGGTGTATGGCATCAAACAGAGAGTACTTTGAGGGTAACGGAAGTTTAAACATGTAAGAGTAAACACACAATTTTTAATAAATACATTCCGTGTTTTGGGGGGTCCCCCCATGTAGCGTTCTCTCCCTCCCCAGGACCTCTGCATACACTGCTCCCGCTCCTTCCCTAGAACACATCCACCGAGCTTCACCCAGTTACCACCTATGCATCATTTGTATCCCAGCTCATGAGTTACTTTTCCCAGGCAGTCCTCAATATTCTAAATCCCTAACCGATCAAAACCTCTGCTGAACCTACCCAGAACTGCCCTCTCCTCCTTTACAGCCATTAAAGATGAACATATGGGTATGCAATTATTCAATTATATATGTATGCAATTACTTGGGGGAAAAAATGTATCTTCCCCACCAGGCTATATACTCCCACACTGGTTTGTTCATCACTGAATCCCCTGAGCTGGTACATACAGAAGGCACTAAATACATGTTTGATGTATACTTGAATTAATACTAGAAGACTTTGGTTTCCAACCCTGACAGGGTTCTTTTTTCTTACCCTGGGATATCGCCTATGATCTCAAGGGTTTCATAAAATTCTAAATTATACAGCCTGCCAAAAAGAACTTTATTTTGTTTTCTTTCTCTCTTTATTTTTATTTTATTTTAGGGGGAGGAGTGGGAGATGTGGAGGCGAGGAAGTGAGGTGGAGAAAGCCCACTCTAGACAGCTCTGGGGTTCAAGCTGTAGTTCAACCTCTCACCAACCAGGTAAACCTGGTGAAGCCCCAGGGCTGCTTCCTCACTTTGAGGATGATCATGTCCATGGCAAAGGACTTTACAGATAATTACAATGATAAAAATAAAGTGCTCAGCACAAAATGGGTTTGGGATAACTGGCCACTATTGTTGTAATTTCAAAGCCAGCTTGTCAGAACTCAAAAGTCACAATCAAGCAATACAGATTTGTTTGTATTTCTTCCCCAACCCCACCCCCCACACAATGTTCCAGAAAGAATTTAAAATAAAATATAAATGAAAATATAATATGAAATACAAAAAGATAAAAAGAAAACATAAAAAGATAAAATTATAAAATTCCATTTAAAAATAAGCGAATGACAGTAGCAGGATACTGCCAGGGTGGGGAAGTGGGGGAATACATCATCAATAAGAGTCCCTGATCTCAAACCAGGCAAAGTGGGGACCAAAGGGAGACCCAAACTTTACCTATACGATGACCACTTGTATACCTAATTCTGAATTATATCCTACATCTTTAAAATAAAAGAAAAAAAACAAGCCAATAAGAGCCAAGTCCAGTAGCCCTTCCCTGTAATCCCACCACTTTAGGAGGCTGAGTGGGAGAACTGGCTGCGCCCAGGAGTTTGAGACCAGCTTGGGCAACAAAGCAAGACTTCGTCTCTACAAAAAATTAAAAAATTAGCCAGAGGTGGTGAAGCACACCTGTAGTCCCAGTTACTGGGGAGGCTGAGACAGATGGATCTCCTGAGCCCAGGAGGTCAAGGCTGCTATGAGCTGTGAACATGCCACTGCACTCCAGCCTGGGGGACAGACTGAGACCCCAACTCAAAAAAATAAAAACAGCCAAAAATTAGACAAAAAGAAGATAAAGGCAGACAAGAAGAACAGGTTCCATGTATGAAGCCTTTCCGCATGCCAGGCACTGAGCTTAGGTTTAAGATTTCATTTAATCTTCAAAAGCCCTAATCGTGGGCGCCATTAACATGAGCCTTGAAAAGCAAAGCAATTTGCCCAATGTAAAGAGAGAGAGAGCCAAGTACAATGGGTCACGCCTATAATCCCAGCATTTTGGGAGGCAGAGGCAAGAGGACTGTCTGAGCCCAGATTGGAGAGCAGCCTGGGCAGCTTGGCAAGACCTCATCTCTACAATAAATCAAAAAATTAGCTGGGTGTGGTGGTGTGTGCCTGTAGTTCTGGCTATTGGGAAGGCTGAGGCAGAAAGATCGCCTGAGCCCAGCAGGTGGAGGCTACGGAGGCCATGAGCATGCCACTGCACTCCAGCCTGGGTGACAGAGTGAGACTCTGACTCAAAAAAAAACAACAACAACAAAAAACAAAAACAAAAAAAAACAGAGAGAGAGAGAAAAAAGTGAGAAAGGGAAACAAGAAGGGAAGGGAATGCACAAAATACAGGCAGCTATACAAAGGAGTCTCAGCCCGCTCATCACAGCTCAGCAAGAATGGATACCCCACAATGACCTGGGCTCCTGGCACAGAGAATCTGAGTTGCCTCCCGCCTGGCTCTTTGCATATGGCTGCCCAAGCAATGCGAAGACCATTCAGGGTGTCTTTGTTTGCCTTTCGAATCAAGAGTTCCTGGATTCTTGGCAATATTAGTTCTCATCTGTTTCTTAAAGTGAGAACAGCAAGTCTTCTACTTAAAAATACTTGTTTTTACACCTAGGCTAAATGAAGCAACCAAAAAAGATTGTGTGTGTGTGTATGTGTGCATGCATGTGTGTGTGTGTGTGTGGAGAGGGAACAATTTCTTACATAGAACATAGGAACTGGCTTGCCAAAAATCAGTGGGAAAATGTCTTCAAAGCTCTGAGGGAAAAATTATCTCATTCCACTCCATTCTACCATTACGTATGTGTACATACACACATATATTTACATAAATTGCTTTCCTGAATGGGCATGGTGGCTCACACCTGTAATCCCAGCACTTTGGCAAGAGGACTGCTTGAGCCCAGGAGTTTGAGACCAGTCTGGCCAACACAGTAAGACCTCATCTCTACAACAAATAAAAAATGTTTAAAAATTAGCTGTGCATAGTCAGGCATGATGGCTCATGCCTGTCACCCCAGCACTGTGGGAGGCGGAGGTGAAAAGATTGCCTGAGCCCAGGGGTTCAAGACCAGGCTGGGCAAGTTGGCGAGACCTCATCTGTACAATAAATCATAAAAGTAGCCAGGCATGGTGGCGCATGCCTATAGTTCCAGCTACTTGGAAGGCTAAAGCAGAAGAAGCACTTAAGCCCAGCAAGTCAAAGTTGGGGTGACTGTGAGCGTGCCACTGCACTCCAGCCTGGGCAACAGAGTGAGACTCTGACTAAAAATAAATAAATAAATAAATAAATAATTTTTTGTTTAAAAAGAAAAAAAAAAATTAGCTGTGCACGGAGGAACATACCTATAGTCCCAGCTATTCGGGATGCTGAAGCGGGAGGATCACCTGAGCCCAGGAGGTCGAGGTTCAGTCGTGATTGTGCCACTGCACTCCCGCCTGGGTGACAAAGTAAGACCCCAACTCAAAGTATTAAAAGAAACTTTTGTTTTTAAACAGTTAAATTTCAACTCCTCTGAGTAACTAGCCACATTTCCATGGACCCCACAATTCATAATACGTTTTCTCTTACCTATACCCAGTCACTCATTAATTCATTCATTCATTCATTCATTCAACAAAATACTTATTGAGCATCTACCATGGGCCAAGTCCTGTGCTAGATACTGTAGGTAACAAGGAGGTTCTAGACAATGCAGATCCTCTTCCCTCATGGAGTCTGCAAAACAGCAGAGAAGATGGACTTCAACACTTTGATTATACAGATAATTATTTGCAGACTATGATAAGTGCTGTGGGGAAAAACAGAAATATATTACAGGGTCCTTTAAGGAAGGGATATTTGGACTGAGCACTGAAGGATGGATGGAAATTAAGCAGGGGAAAGGAGACAGGGAGAAGGCATAACAGACAGAAGGAACAGCAGGTGCAAAGGTCCCGAGGCAGAACAGCATGGCAAAGAATAATAGGGCAAGTCTTGCAAGTGAGAGAATGATAGATCTTCATACTAAACCCAATGGAAACACTAAAGCAGAAAGTGATGTGGTTGGATTGAATGTGCATTCTTAAAAGCACTCTGGGCCAATAATCTCAATACTTTGAGATTATTCATGCCAATAATCTCAATACTTTGGGAGGCCAAAGCGGGAGGACCATTTGAGTCCAGGAATTCAAGACCAGCCTGGACAGTATAGTGAGAGTTCATCTCTAAAAAAAAAAAGAGCCAGACATGGTGGTACATGACTATAGTCCCAGCTACTCAGGAAGCTGAGGCAGAAAAATCGCCTGAACACAGGAATTTGAGGCTGCAGTGAGCTGTGATCATGCCACTGCACTCCAGCCTGGACGACAAAGTGAGACCTCAATTTAAAAAAAAAAAAAAAGTCTCTGGCTGCCTTGTAGAGAATGAATGGAAGAGAGAAGGGGAAGAGACCAGATGGGAAGTCACAGCAGGATACAGCAGAGGGTGATGGTGGCTTATACTAAGGAGGTGGTGATAGATAGAACTGGGTACAAATAGCAGAAAGTGGCCTAGAGATGTATCCCAAAGACACCCTCCCTCATCTAAAGGATCTTCTGTGTCCCTCCCCTCCGCACAATCATGCTTTGGGAGTCCAGCTCAGCATGGCGTGGAAAAGGAGTAGAGAATGAAAGGTTGTGACCTTACCTCGCCTCCAGCCTGGAGGGCTTCCTCCAGGCAGGGCATTCCAGCCAGGGGAGGAGGGGGGTGATGGGCCAGCCGCCCCGGGGTCCACCTGTGGTTCGCAGGCCATGGCAGAGCGCCAGCTGGGCTTCTACTTCCCCTTCTCAGAGCTGTGGTTCATTCTGGAGCAGCTGCCTCAGCTTCACTTGCCTTCAGAAAACAGCACAAAAAGGAACTTCAGTCTCGGGCCTGGGCAGGCTGGGCTTCCTAAGGGCTCTCTCTGAGGCCAAAGTCACCAAAGGCCAGGAAGAGCCCCCAGGAGTCACTGACTTTGATCTTTCTGAGCATACTGAGGAAAATTCTTGGAAGAAGGAGGCCTAGACCGAGAGCTTCCCTTCTTGGGTCTTCTCTAGCTCAGCCATGGACAGGGGACACAGGAAACTCAACAGCTGCCCAGGTCCCACTCCCAGGTGACTGGGATTCCCAGTCCCTTATGGAGGATGCCCCAAGCAACAAGTCAGGCAGATTCCTTACTGGGAGTCTTGTTTAAACAACAAGGGTTTCAAGTAGCTTCCTATAAGACGTTGCAAAATACAAATTTTAAAAATCAGGTGGTAGGAAATACAAAAAAAAAAAAAAATGGCAACCATAAAGAACAAAAAGACTCAGATATTCAGGCAATTAGGTTCCCTAGCAGAAGCAGTGGAGGTTTGTTTTCAAGAACATGGACTCCAGAATCAGACTAGCCAGTTTAAATGCCAGCTCTCCCACCTCCTAGTTATGTCAACTTGAGCAAGTGGTTTAACCTTAAAGAGCTTCAACTTTTCAAATCATGAGATCTTCCTCACAGGGCTGCTGGAAAGAATCAGCCGCTTTCATTGGCAAAGGCAATGACGTCCTTACTGGGTGATTCCTTGATAAGAAAATTTACCTCTGCCTGTGTCCACATGGGAGCCCAAGAATCAACCCTCCCCAAGAAAAACCATGCCTAAGTCCCCTGGGATGTCACTCCAGCCCTGCTAACCACCTTGGTGAAAAGTCCACTAGAATCACCTTTTGCTACCATGAGTCTCGATGTCAGTGAAGGCCTGAAGTGTCCAGTCAGTACACATCTGCTTAATTCCAAGCTGGCCTGAGGGGCTGACTGCCACTGACCAGGTCCCCTAAAGGGTGGGTCCTGATTCCCATGCCCTCGCCACCTTCTACGTCTCTCGAAACTTTTAACAGGAACAGTCACAGAATCTGTGGGTCCCAGTGCCAAGTGAAAATGTGGGGCCCCTTGTTCAGAAATAACAGAATTTCAAGATGGCAACATCAGAACATTGAACCCATTAGGGGGCTTTCCAAAGTCACCTGTGTGACTGTGCAGCTTGCAGGTACCTGAAGCTGGCTCTGACCTTAAGCTGCAGGAAATCACTTGAGAGCCCCCTCTCCCAACCAAGAATATACAAAAGATAAGCCCTTGACTAACAATTATCACCCACCTGCCCTGTAGCAGGCTCTAAGGCCAGAAAGCAGAAAAATATTATGAAAAGGTGGAAGACTTTAAGCCAGAAAGCCTGGACTTGAATCCCCACTCAGCCACAAACATCCTCTGTGGCATTCGCCATCAAGGTACTCGACCCAAACCTTACTGTTCTCATCTGTAAAACTGGAACAGGGAAGCCCACCTCGTGCAGGCTGTGGGGATGTGATAGAAATAAAGACAAGCAAGACAACCAGTACTCTATCCCCCATACAAGCCCCTCTCCTCCACGTGTTTCTCCGACTTCACAGGAGAGAAAACTGATGGTCAAAGATATGAAGTGCGGCCAAGGTTGGTGGCTATAAACTGTAGAGCCAGGAGGGGAGCCCAGCCATCTCGACTCCAGGGTCCAACCCATAATCTATGGCCTTGAGCCTCTGGCCCCGGGAGTGACTCTCTGAACCTGTTCCTGAAACCACCTTACCAGAACAACACATAACACAAAAAGAATAGGCCAAGGGGGACTGCATCCTCCCCCACCCCCACCCCCACCCCCATTAAGATCTAGCAACGAATTCCAGTGGGCCCTGAGATGCTACACTGGGAAAGTCACCTAGCCTATATCCTCCTCACCTAGCCCAAGGGCCGGCTCACAGAACATCCCACCTGCTAAACATGTACCAGTCAATCAGACCATGGCTTACTTCCTTCCGCTTACCTTGTACCCCCAAGAGGCCTGAAAGCAACAAAAATAGCCACAAGGATGTCTGCCATGAACTTGACAATCACTGAAGCCTTTCTGGCCTCACTTGATCACCTCCTAGACCCCCGAGGCAGATAGAATCCTTAGATCTATGTTCCAGGCAAGAAACCCAGGGACATCATAGCTAGGAGCCATAGCCCAGAAAAGCCAGTCAGGAGTGTCAAAAAGGTCTGGGGGATCCAAGAGCTAGGAGGGACCATGCACACGCTGGTGCTGCACAGGTATCCTTCCAGACTACATGGAATGTTCCATTCCTTGCAAAATCCCTCAGTAAGGCATTGCCATTGGGAAGACATCACAGCACCCAAGTTGGCCCCAGCAGTCTTCCACAAAGTCCCAATCAACAGACATCATTCATTCACCTGTAATGGCTAAAAGTAACCTGCCTTGTCCTGCTACTTCCCACATGTCACCTTGAGCAACTTCTTTCTGCCTCTGTTTCCTTCTGTGTAAATGGAAATGATTATGGTAACTTCCGGTTGTTGTGAGGGTTAGAGAGTTCCTACATGTAAATTGCTCAGAACAGCACCAGGCAAATAGGAATCACTGAAGGAACATAGCTCTTCAGGCATTCCCTAAGAACCTTCTAGGGCCAGGCCCTGTGTTTTCTCGACTGTGAAACTAGAAATAAAATCTGAAGTCCTCACACAGCCCTCCCTTCTGGGGCTCACCATCTGGTGGAAAAGACAAACTTATAGAGAATTATGAAACAGACAATTACCAAACAAGGCAGTAAGAGGGAGCCCCTGAGGGTAGGGAAAGGGTTCTTCAGGAGGCTTCCTAGAGGAAGGAGCCCCCCCTCAATTGGTAAAGGTAGAGGTGAGAGGAGCCAGTGCCAAGCAGGAAGGCGGATAGACCAAAGGTCAGAATGGGCCCATCAGGGCGCTGGGGCTGCACATCCTGGGACTGTGCAGATACCCTGCAGCCCTCGTCCAACCCTAAGGCTGCAGAGGGCAAGAGGTGTTGGCAAGACCCTGAGGCCAGACATCCATCGGGTATCCTGAGTCCCTGTCCCCTACCAAGTTCAGTCCGCACCTGCCCCAGGGCAACAAGGAGAAAGAGATTGACACATTGAAGTCAGAGCAGAGGGAGTGAGCACAGCCTTGAGGCTCCTGCAAGGAACAGGTCATCAACTCGCGGGATCTCTGAGTTCCCTTGACTGATTCTGCATTTTAGCCAGACCTTACGGTTATCCATGTGGCACAAGCAGAGCTGCCCTCTTTTCTAGCTAGTGGCGAGCCCCTCCAAAGGAAAAACTCTTCCATCCCGTAGAGCAAAGGCCCCCATTTCTGCAGACACTGCATGCCCAGCCCTCAGGAACTGTGTGCATCACTGAGACTCATCAAAGAGAGAGAAACGACAGCTTCCCTAAGTCAGGTTGTTTGTGCAACTAGAAAGCCAACAAGGGGTCATACAGAAGTTCGGGGGTGGAAAAGTCTTGAGAGACAATGAGTGCGAGATCTCCAATTTACAGATGAGACTATTAAGTCCCAGAAAAGAAAGTGAAGGCCCAGCACAGAAGAGAAAGTGAACTATCCAAGGTCAAGGTGCCACTCGGGGACGGGGCCAGAACCGAAACCGGGTCTCCTGCTGGCCGGGGATGTCGCGCCGTGCAAGGCCTCTGCCTTGGGCAGCTGTCCCGCCCCGGGCTCTGCCCTCAGGGTCGGGTCACGTCTGCCGCCTGGAGGGTCTTTCCTTCACCACCCCAGAAACCACCCCGGCCCTCCTCCGGCCGCGCGCTCCCGGGAGGCGCTGGCGAGCAGCTCCCCCGCCCGACACGGGGGACACGGGGG